ACAATTATAAAAAAATATTTACTATTTACTTACGTATTTTGTTTTCTTCCAGAGTACTTGAATTCTTCACTGCTTTTAATAGCAATGACACTCTTATAGGCAATACAATTGTTACTCAAATTTTTATAACTGAACTTGATGTGTTTTATAGTTTACAAAGTTGTACTTCAACGACGACTGAAAATGAACACTAAGAAAAACATAAGTTTTGGAAAAAAAAAAAGGGGTAGCACCATAAAAAACATAATAGCTTAATTGAGCGTTGTTTTTTGAAAATCTGACAAATCACAAAATTAAAACTTTACAAGGGAGTGAAAAATATTTCTCTTGTAAAAATTTTTATTTTTATTTTATCTAAAAATTGTTTCTTTTCTCTAAAAAAATCTTTATTTTATCTAAAAAAATCTTTATTTTATTTAAAAAAATCTTTATTTTATTTAAAAAAATCTTTATTTCATCTAAAAAAATCTTTATTTTATCTAATAAAATCTTTATTTTATCTTAACATTCTTTTTTTTAAGTGAGGTTATTTGAAAAGAATAATTTTTTGAAAATATTCTATTCAAATAACCTCACTTTTAAAAATTTTTTTGACCGTTTCCAATGCAAATTCTCAAAACGGATCTGGCTCGAACTTAAACTCCCACAAGAATCTCTCCTAATTGGCTGCATCTATCGCCCACCTACCAATAATGTTCTGGCCTTTAACGAAATAGTAAAAGCTATCTCCTACGCGAAATCAGCCGTAGAAAACAAAAAGTTTAATGGTCTAATAGTCACCGATGACTTCAACTTTCCCGACGTCATATGCCACGACGACTGGACCAATCCCACCGGCGCTGAAACTAGTTTTAGCACTAAGTTTGCCGAAATCATTTTTGACCTACATCTACACCAGCACGTTATCAATCCCACCTTCATCCAAGCCAACGGTCTGATAAAAATACACTAGACCTTGTAATAACCGAAACAACCAAACGATTAAGCCATATTACTATCGGTCCTCCTCTTGGTAGCGCCTCGCAAGGTAGCCAAAAACGTCTGCGACCAGCTAGCCAAAAACGTCTGCGACTCTCCCCGTTTTAACATCTCAAAATTTAAATACAGGAAAGGTAATTACGCGAATCTAAACGAGAAACTCTCCCAAGTCGATTGGATTAGTTTATTTAAACCATTATAATAGGACAAAAATCAGAGAAAATTTATTTGCAATGTAATCTTACTATCAAAAAAGTTGGCACTCTATACAATAAAACTTTGCAATATTCATAAGAATTTTTGCGAATGAATGTAATATAGGTTTTAAGTCTACAGCGTCTGATATGTGCAGTTACTGCACTTTGTTGAACATAAAAATAAAAAGTTCTGTAAAAGGCTTCAGTGCTAATGGGTTTTATACACTTTTGAAAGCGGGCGTACCAAATGATTTAAGTTTTTGTTACGATATGCAGCAAATCCAGTCTTTGCCAAAAGCTTTCGTTATAGAGTCATATTATTCTAATTTTTTATAATTTATTCACTTCTGATCTTAGCTGAACTAAACCATTATTCTAAATCTGGACAGAGGAACAACCAGGCAAATCAAGTCAGGAGGTATTGTCAACGCTACTGCATTCTTTACAGAATAACAATTTTCAATGAAAGAAATTACTACGCTTTTATTGCGACTAATGCATTTCTCAAAACAAAATTAATATTCTGTTGAGAAGAGCAATACATTTTCTTCAGTTACAACTTAATAGTTCAACAAGTATAAATGAGATGCAGTTTTATTTTCTTATTCGTGGTACTAAAATTTTACCAGTAGATTTTTTGGTAGAGTGGAAAAAAGCTAAGAAAATGTGAAATTTTTTTATCTAAAGATGAGTATTATGACATTAAGTTAGAAGTAAGTAAAGTGACATGACTGTTTCATGAAAAGATTAGCTTTAAATAATAGAATTTCTAATAAATGCTACCGTTTAATATAGCAATACACAAGTAGTTTTTTTAAAAACAAGTACTTATATTGATTAGTAAGATACAAGCTAGTATTTATTTTAAAAGAATTAAGGTACAAAATAGTATTAATGTATATATAGATATATATATATATATACATTAATACTATCATATATTTATGTATGTATATATATATATATATACATACATATATATATATATATATATATATATATATATATATATATATATATATATATATATATATATATATATATATATATGTATATATGTAAGTATATATATATATATATATATATATATATATATATATATATATATATATATATATATATATATACATATATATATATATATATATATATATATATATATATATATATATATATATATATATATATATATATATATATATATATATATACATATATATATATATATATATATATATATATATATATATATATATATATATATAAATATATATATATATATATATATATATATATATATATATATATATATATATATATATATTTATCTACATATATATATACATATATATATATATATATATATATATATATATATATATATATATATTATATATATATATATATATATATATATATATATGTATGTATATATATATATATATATATATATATATATATATATATATATATATATATATATATATATATATATATATATATATATATATATATATATATAGCTGTAACTTACTTTTGTTTTTATTGAAAATCTTATAGAACTTGTGATTATTAGGGAAATGTTTATCGATAAGGGTTAAATATTTTTTTCCTACTTTTGTGCTAATGTTTTTGCTGAAAGGGGGGTTAAATCAAATGATGTTGTATTTACGGTTCTTAGCATGAGTTGATTTTATGTTAGGATGGTAAGAAAGTTTATGAATGAAACCTGATTTTAATAACGCTTCGTTATGCATTTCAGTAAAATTTTGGTTAACATTACAAGTTTCGAAGTGGGGGAGGGGGCACAATTGCCAACTCTTTAAAAAATTTTTTTTATCTAGAATTTTTTAAAAAAGTAAAAAAGTCCTTTAGAAAAAAGTGGGGGTACGTGCCCCTTGCCCCCCGGTGTCGTTGGCCCTGGATGTGGTGAACTATGTTGTCCGTTAAGTCATTTATGTAGAGGATGAAGAGCAGCGGACCTAGCACCAATTCCCGATGCACTCCACTAGTAACCTCTTTCCACTCAGATTCAGCTTTGCCATAAACAACTCTTTGCTTTCGGCTAGCCAGCCAATTTGATATATATCTCAACATTGAGCGGCATAAGCTGTAAGCATTTAGTTTGTGCAGAAGTTTTTTTATGCAAAAGTTTTTTGCGGTACATTGTCAAAGGTTTCTCGTAAAATCAGTGTATGTTCTCGTAAAAGCACAGTGTTGCTTTATCAACTGATAAATGGATAGAGATATAGATAAAATAGAAGACAACCATTTCATAATATTATAAAAAACAAAAATCATTTTATATGTAATATATCCTACGGGCATTTGTTTTTAAAAGTTACGTTCTAAATGTCTTCTAAAGTAATACATTTTTTTAAACATCTTTTAACCGTTCTTTATGTAAGAATGTTTAGAAGACGTTTAAGAGACATTTACAAAACATTTAGAACGTAACTTTGAAAAACAAATGCCCGATTTATTATTTATTATTGTATTCAACTATAATAAGTATCTATAAAACATCAATGTCTATATGCATTAAAAAAAAATTAAAATGTTTGTAAAATTAATTCTGTATCCATGCATTATTAAATATATATCTATAAAAAATTATTCATACAATGGATTTTTCAATTATTTAATGTTTTTAATTTTTTCATCGCTTTGTTTAACAATTGTTTAACAAATTGACTAAGAGTTTAGCATTTTACCTAGTATCTTACGTTTTCCAAGTAGATTTGATTATTTTGCATAATACTATGAAATTAATACTTAAAATTATGGTTGAATTATTTCTTTTGTTTTTTTGTTGTTGTTTTTTTTTAAATTAAGTAGGAAAGTAAGGCATAACTGCCCCCGTAACGTTTGAATTAATGTTATATGAAAACAAAAACAAAATGTGTTTTTTTAACAATATATTTCAATAACCACATTTATTTAATGCAATTAAAAAAAATAAATGGTTTTTAACAAAATTGTTACACAAAAGTTATACTTGGTGAAAAAAACGGCTTTGTCCCCATTGTGAGGCACAACCGGATCCAGACAAAAAATGTTGGTGGTACACTTTTATTGGTACATTTTCTTTACAATTGTCACAACTCAAATTATTTACTGATTTTGTTGCACGTTTACATACTGTGTAGTCATTTTTAGTACTTAGAGTCTGAGTTTTCTCATTATATATATTCTTAGCTTATTTTATGTTTTATTAAAACAAAATATAAAACTAAATAAAAAAATATGAAACATAATTTTTAACATCATAAAACAAAACTAATTTTTTTCAAGTTTTTAAATGAGCGCATTTAAGTCTGACAATTGTAACTATTGTTATTTGTAATTGCCTTACTTTGATAAATATCAAAAGTATGGGGTTTCGCCTCCTATGCGTCTCTGCGGTTTTTTTACCCCATAGAAAGGATACAGTTTAATGACTTGCTTATTAGGTTATGTTTATATCAAAAATGGCTTTCACTTAATGAAATAATGCTGAAAACACATATCTTCAACACTAAAATCAAATATTGCTTAGTCCTCAAAAAAAAGGTCTGGAAAAATTTGATGTAAATAAAATATTTTTACTAAAATAAACATTATTATGCACATCTTCTCAGAAACGTATCAAGCCCTTTTTTTGACATAAGCGAAACGAAGGAAACTGTTTTACTAACGCGTGGTACGGTTTTTTTTTATTAGATAACATTTTTTAAAATGGAATGTAAAAAACGGTTAAGCCTCCACATGCAGGTATACCACCACTTTTCCTATAATTAACTAATAAACTTTTATTAACAATGACAGAATAATTTAAATATAAAAATGACACCCTCAATATCATCAAGGATGGGTTCTCTGCTAAGAGTTTATTGGCAAAATAGTTAGATTTCAAAATGATTATAAATAGCACTTTATACCTGCTTGCAATATAACTAGGGGTTCTTTAAATTTGTTGAATAAAAAAGTTTTTTTATCATTGCTTTATAACGTTTATTGACTTTTTTAGGAAATGTTATTATTGCAGCTCCATTAGTCATGATTACTGCCATTATCGCTGCTACTGTTGTTTATTTAAAAAGAAGAAAAAGAAGAAATCCACCAAGTCAAAATCCAGCCCCTCTTCCTACATTTGTTCAAACAATTGAGTAAGTAATATTAAATTATTTTCAGTTTTGTTCTCTTGAAGATCAGAACTAGTTTTTTTTTATTTTAATTCAAAAGCTTATTCCCAAACCCTTGCCCAAATCTAATTTATATATATATATATATATATATATATATATATATTATATATATATATATATATATATATATATATATATATATATATATATATATATATATATATATATATATATATATATATATATATATATATTTTTAAATGTAGGATTAATTAGCACGAGATTAAACTTTTGTATATAGCACGCTAGCATGCTATCTAATTAATTTAAATTAGTTCCATAGAATTCGCTCACTTATTCTTGTTTTCATGATTCATATCATTTGCAATCTTTAAATCGTCTGTTTCAATTCTAATTGTGGTTGCTTTTTAGTCTCGTCGGAAACAATGTATAAATTATTATATTAATAATAGTAATAACAATAACAATGATTGTAATAATAAAAATAAATATTTTCATTAAAAAATTATAGATTAATAAAACAAATGCAAATTATAGGAATAGTATAAACTCAGCATAGTTTTCTTTGCGAACGGACGTAAATATTTCTTAAAAGTGAACTTAAAAATTTATAAATATATATCTACAGATTTATATATTTAAACTTAAAAAATATAATTTAATTAAAATGGCAAGCAAAAAAGACATTGAAAGTATGTTGGAAGAAAAATTTAAAGTACAAGAAAATTCAATTCTAAAGATTATTTCTGGAAATGCAACAATTTAAAATGAAAAAATGGATAAAATCTTAAAATCAATCGAGTCAATAACTAAACGGTTGTTATTAGTAGAAAAAAAACAAAAAACTTTACAACAAACTGTTGAAGACCTTCAGAAAAGTATTGAGTTCACTCAGGATACTTGGATCGATGAAAAAATTATATCTCTCAATAAAGATTTAAACAAAGTTATTAATAGCGAAATTGCAAACGTTTCAAATAAAACCGTTTACGTACAAGAAAATCTAGACGAAGCAAAAATCTTATGCCACGAGCTAAAAGAAAAGATGAGAAAATTTGAAGACAGAAATAGAAGAAATAATATAAGAATTTACGGATTACGAGAAAATGAACGAGAAACTTGGCAAAATACTGAACAAAAACTTCAAACAATTTTTAATGAACAGCTTCAGCTAAAAAATATAGTAATAGAAAGGGCACACAGAATTGGAAAAGTTTATAATAATATGGATACCCCAAGAACTGTTATACTTAAACTGTTAAATTATAAAGATAAAGAACTTGCAAGAAAATGCAAAGAAACTAAAAGGAAAAGGGATCTTTATAAACGAGGACTTTTCGGAAGAAACAAATAAAATACGACGTAATCTTATTGAGAAAATGAAGATTGCAAGAAATTCCGGAAAATATGCAGTTTTAGCATATGATAAACTGATTGTGGAGGAGTTAAATCGGAACACTAAATAAGTATCTTCATTCTTTTTTTCTTAATATTTAGTTGTTTTTTTAATTATTTTTATTAATTTTTAAATGGAGGGCAACTTGCAATTAAAATATTCTCCTGAAAATTTAAGTCTCAGTGAAAAAGATACATATACAAAATACTTTGATCAAATAACATATGAAAGTAATTACTACTCAATTTCCCAAACCGCAAAATATTTTCACCAAAACAAAGTCTCATTTTTAATATTAAATATTAATATATATACGAAGTATATAAATTAATATTTAATTTAAATTTTAAATTTTTACTTGACGAAATAAAACACGATTTCGGCATTATTTGTTTTACAGAGACGTAATGTTGAAAAATGTTGGTGTAAATGTGAAAAAATTCCACAATTTGAATTAAAAAATTATACATCTGTTCACCAACCGAGTAAAATTCATGCTGGAGGTTAAGTTAAAATTCATGCTGGATGCTAAGTGTTTATATTCACAATTCAATCGACTTTATTTTGCGTAGGGATCTTAGTGTGAATGAAACAGATTGTGAGTCATTATGCATAGAATTAGTTAATAAAAACTCTAAAAACATAATCATAAATATTATTTATAGACAACCAGGTGGGAATTTTAAAACATTCAAAACTCATCTTAGCTCATTCTTAAACAAATTTAATAACGCGCAAAAGCATATTTACATAGTTGGTGATATAAACATTAAGTTGTTGAAGCATAATTCTAATAATAGTGTTAAATATTTTGTTGATACTCTACTAGAGCACAATTTCATTCCAACAATTATCAAGTCAACCAGAGTAACTAAAAATTCTTCTACCTTAGTCGATAATATAATAACCAACAATTCCCATGTTTTCACCGGTATAATTAAGACATACCTTTCAGATTATTTTCCCACCTTCTTAACTACTAAAAACATAGCACCAAACAATACCTCTTCCAAAACCTCCTTTATACAAACGAGAGATCAATGAAAACTCCTTTCAAAAATTTAAAAGTTTACTAAAAAACAATGTTGATTGGGATCTTATATTGCAATCAAGCGATGCGAACAACGCCTACGAACTTTTTCTAGGTCAATTTTGTAAATATTATGAAAAAGCGTTTCCAGTTATTACTGTTGTTATAAACAAAAAGTCAATTCTAACTCCTTGGATGTCTAAAGGTTTAATCAAATCCGCAAGAAAAAAACAAAAACTCTACGACAAATTCCTAAAAAATAAAACTTATAAAAATGAAATAACTTATAAAAATTATAAAAACTCGTTTGAAAAAACAAAACAATACTCAAAAAAGCTTTATTATTCAAATTTGTTAAAAAAAAACCATGGCAATGCTAAAAAAACATGGAATTCGATTAAAGAGATAATCGGTAATAATAACTCTACAAAAAGCAATCTCCCGAAAAAGCTTTTAATTGATGGTAAATTAGTCAGTGATAAGATAATAATAGCTGAATATCTAAATAGCTTTTTTCTTAATCTGGGTCACAATTTAGCAGCAGAAATTCCGTCGAGTTCTGCAACATTTCATTCTTACTTGATTAAGAACCTTACCACAGAAAAGATTATGAAAGAAACACATCTAGATTCTAATGAATTGTGATCCGCTTTAAACAATCTAAAAAACAACAAAAGTGCGGGCTTTGATAATATCAGAAGCTTTGTCGTAAAATCAGTATTTGATATCATTGAACCATCACTGCACCACATCTTCAATCTTTCGCTAAAATCAGGCATTGTCCCGGATAAACTAAAAATTGCTCGAGTCACCCCTATTTTGAAATCTGGAGATAATTTTGATACTAATAATTATATCAGTTTTACCATGTTTTTCCAAATTACTAGAACGCGTCATGTATAATAGACTTTACAATTATTTGACGGAAAACAATTTTTTATACGGTAAACAATTTGGATTTAAAAAAAAACCACTTAACTGACCATGCTATAATTGAGCTAGTTAATCAAATATCTAATGCTTTTAGTAATGATTGCTTTACGCTAGGAGTTTTTATTGATCTTTCTAAAGCTTTTGATGCCGTAAATCACGACACTCTTCTAAAAAAACTCGAAGTGTATGGAGTAAAAAATAATAACTTACTTTGGTTTAAAGATTATTTATTAAAACGAAAGCAATATATTCAGCATGAAATAACAAAAACAACAAATAGCGCCATACCTTGCGGGGTTCCCCAAGGCTCGATCTTGGGACCATTATTATTTTTACTCTATATAAATAATTTATATTCAACATCAAACTTATTAAATTTAATCTTGTTTGCGGATGACTCCAATTTGTTTTATTCGCATAGAGACATTAGGACACTTTTTAACATAGTTAACAAAGAATTACATAAAATAAATGAGTGGTTTAGGTGTAACAAACTCTCTTTGAATGTCATTTTAATCAAGTTCATCCTATTTCATAAAACAAATAAAAACAAAAATATTCTTCTTAAACTACCTGATCTTAAAATAAATAATACTAATATATAAAGAGAAAATTTTATAGACTTTTTAGGTATGGTCTTGGATGAAAATTTGTCGTGGAAGCTCCATATAAACACTTTAGAGAGAAAGCTCTCAAGAAATATTTCATTAATGTAAAAAGCAAAACCTTTCCTTAATATCATTTCCTTTAGAAGTTTATACTTTTCATTAATACATAGTCATCTAAGCTATGGTAACATGGCCTGGGCAAGCACAAACTGTACTAAGCCTAAAAAACTCTACAGTAAACAAAAACATGCCTGTAGAATTGTCTTCGGAGTAAGTAAAATAGCGTCTGGTGAACCTCTCTTATGCAAACTTGGAGCATTGAATATGTACAAAATTAACTTACATCTTGTTTTACAGTTTATGTACAAAATAAATAATGGACTATTTCCGCCAATATTTCAACCCTATTTTAGCGAAATAAGTCATAAATACCCTACTAGATTCTCATATAACAACTTTGTCATCCCAAAATTTACATTAAAGTTAAATTCATACTCAATCCAACACCGCGGACTTTATTTGTGGAAAATTTTTCCCGAGATTGTTTCTATCAAAAGAAATACACTTGAACAGTTCAAATCTGAATCAAAGCGTTTTTTATTATCTACGGACCTGAATTTTCTTTTTCTTTTTTAGTAAAAAATAAACTAGCACTATTTATTTCTTTTATTTGTTTTAACTTTTACTTGTTCTAAATTTATTTTACTAAACGAATTTATATATAAGCAGTTATATCAGTTGTAAAACGTAGTTTTTCACATTTTTACATATTTTATCACAAACAATTTATCACGATTTTATATATTTTGTTGTAAAAAACGACCTGTAATGAAGTCACTATGGGGCTCGGTGATAAGACAAACTGATGTTTTCTTCTTGCTCCAGCCATTTGTTTTATTATATATGTTATTTTATAAATTGTAACTTTCTACGGCAAAAAATTAAAAATTAAAAAAAAAAAATAAAAAAAAAATAAAAAAGAATGTTTGAAATATTGACAGAATAAAAAAATAATAACAATAAAAAACATTAT